ATGTCGCACATGCCAAAGTGGATGTCCGAGCTTATCGAGAAAGGGTCAAGCGTCAAGGAGTGTTTAGAGATGTGGCGTCAGGAGCAGGAGGCAATGAGAGCTGAGAGAGATCAAGCTAGAGCTGAACGAGAGACAGTAAGAGCAGAAAAGGAAGCTGAACGAGAGCTTGAGAAAGTAAGGTTAGCTCATGAAAGAGAGGAGCGTCAGGCTAAGAGAGACAGGGATAAGTGGGAGGCTGAGAAAGAGATTAAGTTGAGAGAGTTAGCTCTTAAAGAGAAAGAGTTAGAGAAGAGTAAAATTGGTCCCTCCCCCCAAAGTATTCACACTCCTAGTGTAAAGTTGCCCAAATTTGAAGAAGGTCAAGACCCGGACGTTTTTCTAAAATCATTTGAGAAAATAGCGGGGTTACAAAAGTGGGATCAATCTCAATGGGCGGTTCGTTTAGTCCCAATGCTATCGGGTAAGGCTCTTGAAGCTTATTCTAGATTGTCAGATGAGGATAGCGATAATTACGATGCTATAAAAACTGCTATTCTTAAAAGGTATGAACTTACCTCAGAGGCCTATAGGGATAAGTTTAGGCAGTGTCGACAGTCTAGTGATGAATCGTTCAAAGATTTTGTGGTTAGGACAGAGAGGTTCTTTAATCATTGGTGTGAAAGGGAAGAAATTGGTTCAAACTTTCATAAGTTGTTTGATTTGATGTTGAGAGAACAGGTGATAAGAAGTTGTTCAAAAGAGTTGCAACTGTGGGTACTTGAACACAGTCCAAAGTCTATTAAAGAAGTTATAACTTTGTCAGAGTCATTTCAGGTTGCGCATAGAGGCAGTTATTCAGGCGTTGGTCGTGGTAATGCAGGGGAAAAACCGGGTGCAAGACCAAACAAGTTTGGTTCGGTTCAGTCCCAGAAAGGTAAGTTTATCTCGCCTTCAGATCAGAGGAGATGTTTTAAGTGTGACAAGGTCGGGCATATTGCTCCGAATTGTCCATTGCGTAAAGTTCAGTCAAAATCTCCTCTGAATCAGAAACCAGGTAACCACAAGTCTAATGAACAGTTTGGTTTGTGTCTTGATGAGACAATGACAGTATCTGAGGATTCTGATAGTGTTCATGAGAATAAAGTGGTGGTTAAGTTGTCTGGTGTATCGATTACTGATGATTCTGCTTTAGAATTAAGTTGTGAACAGGTTTAGATTTGGTGAGTGGAGAAGTCGGTGGACATGTTGTCTCAGTTTTAAGGGATACTGGTTGTTCAACGGTGTTTGTCAACAGTAAATTAGTTTCAGATGAGGATAAGACTGGGAAATCAAGGGTAATTACTCTAGCTGACGGTACAAGGACATCTTGCAATGAGGCAATAGTAAGTGTGAATACGCCATACATTTCAGGTAAGGTACACGCTTTATGTCTAGATTCTCCTTTTGCTGATGTTATTATTGGCAACAATGTGAGCATTGTAGTACCTAAGGAGGCAGACCCTTTACCCAGAAAGGAGAAGGTGGACACAGTCGAAGATGACACATGCGGAGCGGTCCAAACTAGATCAGAGCTAAGGAAACAAGAGAGGGCAGAAAAACCAAAACTGGATGATTTAAAAGCATCGAACACCGAGAATGAAGGTATGTGGTGTAACAGGGAGGAATTGATTGAGCATCAGAAAACTGATGAGATCTTGAAGTCAATTCTAGATATGGCACAAAATGGACCATATGAGGGTAAGTCATATTTCATCTTGAAAAATGATTTATTGTATAGAGTCTTTGAGAAGAATTCTGAAAAGGTCTTCCAGATTGTAGCTCCAAAGAAACTGCGCAATGGTATTATGTCATTGGCTCATGACACACCATTGGCTGGGCATCTTGGAAACAAGAAAACCAGAGAACGAATCCTGCAAAACTTCTTTTGGCCGGGTATGTATGTGGACATATCACGTTATTGTAAGTCATGCTCTATTTGTCAGAAGGGGATGCAGAAAGGGAGAACACCAAAAGCAAAACTGGTGCCAATTCCAAAGATAGACGTTCCATTTTCCAGAGTCGCCATCGACTTTGTGGGTCCATTACCAATGACAGAAAAGAAAAACAGATATATTTTGGTATGTATGGACTATGCTACTAGATTTCCGGAAGCATTTCCGATGAAAACTCAAGACGCAGAAAGTGTGGCAAATGCGCTTATGGAAATGTTCTCAAGAGTAGGCTTTCCTAAAGAACTTTTATCAGATCAGGGAACAAATTTCATGTCATCACTCATATCAAACCTGTGCAAAATGCTAAAAGTGCGTAAACTGTCAACTACTCCTTATCATCCTCAAGCTAACGGGCTAGTAGAACGATTTAATGGGACTCTTACGCAAATGTTGAAAGCATATGCAGTTGTAGAACCATTAAAATGGGATGTTCATTTACCATATGTACTCTTTGCCTACAGAGATGTCCCAAATGAAACGACAGGTTTTACTCCCTTCGAACTTCTTTATGCCAGACATGTCAGGGGTCCACTAGACATCTTAAAGGAGCAATGGGAAGAACCAACCGAGGAACAAGCATCAGTCCTTAGTTATCTCAGGGAGACACGGAAACGAATGGAGACGGTACGTAAGTTGGTAACAGAAGTGGAATCCCATGCAAAGAAGAAACAGAAGAGATATTATGACAAAAACGCCAGGAGCAGGAATTTTGAAGTAGGTCAGAAAGTTTTAGTGTTATTGCCAACCAGTACTTCGAAATTATTGGCGCAGTGGAAGGGTCCATATGAGGTGACAGAAAAGGTAAGTCCAGTTGATTTCAGAGTCAGGCTGTCCAAAAACAAAGAAACTGTTTATCACGTCAATATGCTGAAGGAATGGTTTGAGAGAGAGTCAGAGGAAAACAGGAAGTCTGAAATAATGGCATGCTTGAATGTTATTTCCAGTTTATCTAGCAATGATGTTCAGATAGAAGACGGTGTGGTATCGGATAAAGTCCCGGCCCTTCAGCAGACAGAATCGTCAGCCGACGTACTATATTCAAACGACCTCGCCACAGAGCAAAGGGATCAGATTCAGAGGTTAGTGGAAGAATTTGGTGATATTTTTACAGATGTTCCCAAGAAAACGCCTTTGACGAAACACTCAGTGAAAACGTCTACAGATGTGCCCATCCATATGAAACCATACCCAATTCCATATGCCTTACAAGACCAATTGAAGCTGGAGTTACAGCAAATGATGGATCTTGGTATCATTGAGGAAACAGACAGTCCATATTCAGCACCAGTCGTCCTCATTAAGAAGAGTGACAAATCATTGAGATTCTGCGTCGACTTCCGGGAGTTGAATAAGGTAACTGTATTTGACCCAAGACCAATGCCTCGAATAGATGACATTTTGATTAAGATCAGTAAAGCAAAATTCATAAGCAAATTGGACTTGACAAAAGGTTATTGGCAAGTGCCATTAGACGAGGATGCAAAACAGAAAAGTGCATTTGTAACTCCATTTGGACATTTCAGTTTTACAATCATGCCGTTCGGGATGGTAAATGCACCGGCCACCTTCGTTAGACTGGTAAGTAAAGTTCTTACAGGGCTGGAAAATTTCACAGAGGCTTTCATTGATGATATTGGTATCTATAGCAACAGCTGGGCCGAACACCTTGAGCATCTGAGAACAGTGTTTTCAGCGTTGAGGAAAGCGAACTTAGCAGCTCGACCTACAAAATGTGAGTTTGGTTTCAATGAACTTTGTTTTCTTGGTCACACTGTAGGAAGTGGAAAAATCAAGCCAACGATGTCAAAAGTAGAATCCATTCAGAACTTTCCCATTCCAACAACCAAGAAAAAGGTAAAGTCATTTTTAGGTATGATTGGGTTCTACCGGAAGTTCATTCCTAATTTTGCCACTTTAGCACTTCCGCTTACAGACCTGACGAGCAAGAAAACGCCTAGCAAAATCAAATGGACAAGCGAACTTGATCACTCTTTCCAAGAACTAAAAGGTACGTTACTTTCAGAACCAGTTCTTCGAAGTCCAGATTTCAATAGATCATTCATTTTGCGCACAGATGCAAGTGCATACGGAGCAGGCGCGGTGCTAGAGCAAGAGTTTGAAGACGGTAAGCATCCAATTTGTTTTCTTAGCAAAAAGTTCAGTCCTGCGGAGAGAAATTATGCTGTAGTAGAAAAAGAGTGCTTTGCTATTGTATGGGCGGTCCAGAGTCTCAGAGTCTATTTAGAAGGTAAACCATTCAAAATTGAGACTGATCATGCACCTTTGCAATGGTTACAAAGGTCAAAGTTATCAAATCAACGTTTGTTACGCTGGAGTCTTCTTTTGCAAGAGTTTGTGTTCTCGATTAGGTATATTCGTGGTACACAGAATACAGTAGCAGACTCACTATCAAGGTTATGTTCAGATGATGTGGTTGAGTAATTATCTGAGATTACTTTTGTTGCAGGTATATTGTATATATAATGCTTTGTTGTAAATAGTCTGAGTTTGTTTATTTTAATTTTCAGTTTGTAGGTTTGGTCGGACTAAATGGTCTTTAGTCTTATAAGGGGGAGGTATGTAACAAACTGAAATTTTTCATTACATTGTAAATAAATCCCCTGGGTTCACCCTTCCGGTAACTTGTGTAATAACCCTGTGGGGAGCCCCTAAATTCATTTAGTTCCCATAGTAACATAGCAGCCCTGTGGGGAGCTGCTCGTTTTACTTTAAATAGTAATGTTAAAGCATGCTCTGGGGAGTACCCGGGAAAAACATCAGCCGATAGACGTGTTCGTCTAGTGCTACCAGGGGGCCTGTCCATAGAAAACCACATGGGTCTTATGCCTTATTTTCATGCCTAAAGTCTCTCTACAGAGTGTTGCAGAGTATGTAAACTATCGGGTACTGAAATTCATTATTTGAGAGTAGCCATTTCCATGTTATGGTGTGTGACAGAGACCGTAGCGTGTGAGTGAACTATGGCGGCCCGTGCGACACATCTCTAAACCAGTTCTGTGAGTTACTATCATCGGGCGGTGACCCTCGTTGAACATTTCATTATCTGAATTAAAGTCTTTATATGAACGAAACATTGTGAAAGTTTGAGAATTATAACTATTGTGAATTTGGAAATAATTCTGAATATTTAGTTTCATTGAAAGACATTTCAAAGTGTTGAGCCTGGCGTCGGACCATTGTCTCTGGAACCCGAGAGGAACCCAGTGTGCCACGCAGCCCGTTATTAATTAACATTGTTCCGTGCAGCCATACAAAAAGGAAACTGTAAAAATCTATTCTTAAAGGATTTCCGCACTTACGGAAGGACCAGGACAAACGGGACCTATTCATACCAAGGGACATGCGCACTGACTGACTGAGGACCAGGACCAATTAACAAAGACATTTTCAATTTATTTCATTTTTGTACATTTTTTTTTTTTGGTTAAATTGTTTGTTAAAATTTCTGTTTACTTTGTTCTTTAATTTTTTTATAAAATTTTGTTTAAATTTTAAAGTTCATCTTTTGATTTTTGTAAGTTCATCAGGGTGTATAACCCACACCCTCACACCTATGTAAAACTCGGGTTGGCCATTTTGGCCCCACCCTTAACGCAGGGGTCATGATTTGAACAAACTTGAACCTACACTACCTGAGGATGATTCCACATGAGTTTCATCTTTCCTGGCCTAGTGGTTCGGGAGAAGAAGATTTTTTAAAAATGCCATTAATTTTTAACAAATTAATGATTATCTCCCTTTGGAAAAGGGCGTGGCCCTTCATTTGAACAAACTTGAATCCCCTTCACCCAAGGATACTTTGTGCCAAGTTTGGTTGAAATTGGCCCAGTTGTTCTTGAAAAGAAGATGAAAATGTGAAAAGTTTACAGACAGACAGACGGACAGACGGACGCCGGACAAAATGTGATCAGAAAAGCTCACTTCAGCCTTCAACTCAGGTGAGCTAAAAAGGCTTATGGTGGCAAAAATAAATGAGCAAGGCTTCAATCATTCATACAGTTTTTTGGGGGAGGGGGTAGAGAAAACTAGGAGGAAATTGAAAAATTTTAATCCATTGTCATTCCAAAGTTTATTGTTTAATTGTTCACCGTTTATGCTCTATTTTGCAGAAGAAACTGCATAAAACATACAACCCTTCTCTCACCTACCCTTGTAAATGAGATCAAAGGAATTAAATGTTACAGTTCTTAGGTCCCTGATCAATTGAAATATTACAAAACCACAAATATCACTTTCCTCTTGATGTTAAATGTATCTGTATTTCAGACAAATGCCTCAATAGCCTCATACAATGAAGAGCCCAAACCCTAGTCACCAAACAAGAACTGTTGAGTGAAGGGAAGTAACTCTCTATCAGACTCGTCATCAAGTGTCATCATCAATACACTAAACACAAGATTCATTTCTATGCTGCATCTTAGCTAGTCCAGTGTCCAATTCGTATCTCTCCCTTTGATAGACTAGATTTAGATGGTATAATAGTGTTGAAGGCATTTATAAAGAATCATTCTAGGCAAAAAAACCTGTTATATATATATATTCTTTTTCAAATAAAGACCCATGGGCAACATTGCTCACCTGAGCACTGTGGCTAGGATAGAAGCAAAAATCAATCAAGTATTGAAATCTTTAATGTATAAGTGGTCCTAACCTACCCCTAAAATAGGTGGGGGAAGATGTGATATGAATTAACTAGGAAGAAATTGAACATAATACATCATCATAGTAAATTTTATGAATTTTTGTTTGTTAACTATTTATGCTTTATTTTGCAAAAGAAACTACATAAATGTACAACCCTTCTCTTGTCTACCCTTGTAAATGTGATCAAAGGAATTAAATGCTACAGTTCCTGGACCACTGATTCATATATATTATTATAACAGTAACTTGATCCGAAGGGTCGTATCACATCGAGTTGACAGGCGCGGATCATCAGATCAAACGAGACGTGAAGCGTCGAGTTTGATCTGATGATTCGCCCCTGCGCCTGTCAACTAGACGTGATATGGCTCTTCGGATCAAGTTACTTATTTTATGATAAATTTATTATATACCCCCTTATGACTGGCTAAATATATCAAAATAATAAAATAAACCTATAGAGATAATATTAATCCATTAAAAAAGGCATAATAACAAGGGACTTTTTAATGCGCAAGAAAAATAACATCATTTTTCTGCGTACTGCCTCATCAAGCTTCAGAGAGTGGTGATATGGATTCAGAAAACAACATGTTGGTGATCCGGAAAATCAGATCACGACTCACGTGATAGTGTAAATTCAACAGTAAAATTGGGTGATACTCATTAGGTATATAATAAAATTAAATATTACTAAACCACAAATATCACTTTTCTCTTGAAGCTAAATGAATCTGTATTTCAGACAAATGCCTCAATAGCCTCATACAATGAAGAGCCCAAACCCTGGTCACCAAACAAGAACTGTTGAGTGAAGGGAAGTAACTCTCTATCAGACTCGTCATCAAGAGCCGTTATCACTCATAAGCTCCCTAGAAACAAGTCGAGTCGTCTATGGTTTCAAAGCAAAATAATCTAGCCGCTTTAGACTTATCTTTTGCAAGATATTTTTAATTGGTTTCGTAAATCTGAATTTAAAAAACAACTGTTTTGGCAATAAATACAACCATTCTAAAAATGCAGTGACGGATTTTATGTTAAAAAAGCAATGACTCCAGGATTATAGCAAACATCACAGAATCTGTTGTAACACAGAAAACATTTCCTAGGCTTAAAAACAATCAGAAATCATTAATAAACAACAAGATTGCCACTTTTCCTAAGGATTAAGAACAAAAGTAAAAAATTGTGAAAGTCCAAGGATGTGTCAATCAAACCCGCCAAAAAATTTAAAACTTTAATAACTTTTAAATAAAATAAGACTTTTAATTAATTTTTGTTTGAAATGCTATTAAAAATTCTTAGTCGTAATATTATTGAGAAAATAATAACTTCAAATCTGTGTACAATTACCTTTAAAGTTTTAAATTTTCGCGTTTTCAAAGATTATTTTAATTTAATTAGACTTGTGTATTTTCCTTCCATTATCTATCCTTTATGCATGAGCATTCTTGATATAAGAAACACTAAAGAAAGATAAAAGAAACACTAAAGAGAGATCAATTCATAACAATCCAATGTAAGGTTATCAGTCAGGCGGAAAAATCCTCAGTACTATTAATCACTTTTTATACGCGAGAACTTTATTTTTAGTGTAATTACGCGAGACGGTATGCTCGCAAAAAACTGATTCTCGCGTATAATAAAATTTCTTAAGATTATATACAGTACTTACCACAATTCGTGAAAATTTTGTTTCGCTTATAAAGAGTCAGTGACTATATCGCGAAAATAAGGTGTCGCGAAAATTAAGTGATCTACAGTATAAGCACGCTTTATCTGAGGACAAAAATAACGCACATGTCCTTTAGAAAAATATTATGCTTATTTTCTTTTCAAAACAATTACTTATTTTTTAATTGTCCTTTACCCTGAATTCGTCCATTGATCGAAAAATATTTTTTAACATTATAAAGACTTTAAGGACAGATGAAACAAACAAACTTTTGTCAAAAATTTTGAACATAGTAATTTGTGTCATGATTGAATGTATAAAATAATTAAATTTCACCGCGTAGTTTTTAAATTTTTATTCAAAATTGCACAAAAATGTAATTTGAAGTGGAAAATATTTGTATAGAATAATAAGGATGGTTTCAAAAGGATAGAATGTGAATGTCACAGAAGGTTTACAAATTATCTATATTCTAGACATTTATTATTTGCATCATTTGAAGTGAAATTTAGTCAAGAAATATATACCAATCCAGACATCCATTTTTTGTTTGTATCATCTGTCCTTAATATTAGAAAAAATTCACAGAGACTTTGCTCCAATTTCTACGTACGGCAAAGGTTTTAAATTACTGTTAACGAAATTCAATGACTTGAATGTAATAAAATTTACACACTGTAATATTCCTGCTACATCCAAACCGTGTTATCTGAAGAGATAAAACAGTATAAAAGGTTTTTTCCCTTAAATTTTAAATTTTCAGATTTATTTATTCAAAGAAATCAGATAAAATAAAAAAAAGTTTAAATGCTAAACTTTAAAAGTAGCATATACATGACTGTAATTGTTGGATTTAAAAAAAGAATAGTTCGTTATTATTCCAATCAGTTGTGTTTGGGAATTTTTTTTATCATATTTTAAGTAACTTCTTTTTTTTAACAAGTTTTATCTTTGTTTATTACAAAATATACACATATGTACATGTATACAAACGCTTTAATACAGGCAAAACTAAACTGCAATAATTATAACGGAAGCTAAGATAACTTTATTTCATGCACGATAGTTCAAAATATTTACAACTTTTATAATTATTCATACATTAAAGAACTCAAAGCAAATAAAACAAAGTACTCTTTTGAAATGGTGATAAAATAAAGAGAAGTAAATTTAAAAATAGGTAATTAGTTGAATATAGATAGACACATGTCTATTAAATAGATAATATATTCTCAATTAGCTATCAACTAAAAATATTGGTGTCTGCTACCTATTCCTACCTTTAAAAAAATCTCCCAATCCATCTATTCCCACTTGCAAATAACAATAAATGTTTTTATAATAATTTAATTACAGTTATTATTACATTCCATCTTGGATTTACCTTATTTTGTACATTTGAAGGCGGGAAATAAATAATAGAGAGGTTGAGATTTCAAACGTGTACGTGTACGGGTACGTCTAGTAGAGGAATAACCTAAATTCTGTGTGTATTACGTCATCACTTTTAGTGACGTCAAGATTGCTACACGTTCGTAAAACTTGTAAAATGGAATCTACACGTAAGTGAAAACGTGTAGCTTTAATAATAAAAATTATCCAATTTAAGTGTGAAAATGTGAATGTTATACATTATATAGGATGTTTAGTTTCATGAGCACTTATTTCCATCTGAAAACTTCTAAGTAGTTGAAACAGACACACCGATCGCGCTGTACATGTACACGTCACACGTCATAAAAATCTCAACAGACAAATTAAAAAACGTGTACGTGTACGTCTAAATGTTTACAAGTACACGTACGCGTACAAGTTAAAGATCTCAACCTCTCTAGTATTAGGAAAAAATGATTTATTGAATCAAATATATGCAATACAATACATATATAACAAATGCATAATATATTTAATTGTTTGCAAATCAAGGGTTACAAACCCCTCATATCTTGAATTTTAAACTTAAAATGAGAAGATTTATGAAATAATGCATTATAATGACTGAATTTTAGAAAATACAATGAATAAATAAACAGGAAAAATTATTTATTCCCTTTAAATATTAGTAAAAAGTCTTATTTAGAATTCAAAAAAAGCCAGTATTCATTAATCACTGTTATACAGCATTTATATGTTTTTAAGTTAATTATTTGTTTACTTAAAAATTCCACCTATCCCACATAAAATTTTACCTTTTCCTACCTGATTTTCAGAAAGTGGTTATAGGTAGAGTTTGTGTTTAATTTTACTGCGACTAATTCAAACAAAATATGTTGCGGTTAAAACTTCATTTTTCAAAAAAAAAATTACGATCAATTTAGAATGAACTTTTAAAAACGGAAGTTTACGTCATTGTGTGAGCTGTATCTTCCTGTCAATGACCTTCGGCAAGTCGATTTATTTAAGAGTTTAAAGCTGTGTTATTAATAAAAGATATTAGACGATATTCTGTTCCATATGTTAACAAGGATTTTTTCACGACAATAGGTTGATTTGGAGTGTTGTGTACGAGCCATTGTCTATTTCCTCGTCACCCTTGAGTCATAAGTATATACCAATTTGTTAAAATATTTATTTTGCTGATTTTTTAAGTTTTATTTTAGGCTGAAAGTTACGGAAGCCCAACAGTGCAAACCAAAAATAAATAAAGAAAAATGAAATTATTAGATAAAGAAAAACGAAATTATTAAATAAATCATTTCGTTTTTCTTTATTTAATAATTTCGTTTCATTTTATTTTATAATTTCGTTTTTCCTTATATATTAATTTCGTTTCTCTTTATATATTGATTTTGTTTTTCTTTATTTGATAATTTTGTTTTTCTTTATTTAATAATTTCGTTATCTTCATTCAATAATTTCGTTTTTCTCGCAAGGTCGTGCATTTGAACAGCCAACTTCTGCCAATATTCACCACTATAAGTTCAATAACCATATTTTATCAAGCTATTTTAACTCTGAAAGTGACAATAGGATGTAGAAAAAAGTTCTTATCGTCGTGTATCTACATTCCAAGGTATTTAGACCTGAAAAGCTTTTAAAAAGATGTTCGTTTTTCATTGTCTTAATATCTACGTTAATTATATTCCAATCAGTCAATTTGATCCTCGGTGCAGAAGCGAAGATGTACTTTTTGTGGATCCAATATTGCTTATACGAGTTTGGACAGATGATAGTCATAGTTATAGGATTGTGTGTGTTGTTCCTTTATCTACTGAAATGGACCATGTTCGATCAGGTCAGTTATTGACTAGTTTCACTTGGCACTTATTAATGATGTCTATGGAAACTTTGGAACTTTGGTCAATGTTATATTGCTTGTAAAGAAAGGATATAAATCAGATGTATTGTGTACCCCTACTTTAGAAAAATAGGTTCATGAAAAGAATACCCATGCCATGTTTTAATCCATCTTTCATACCATAGGTTTTCATATATTTCATTTTCTTTCTTTCCAGTTTGTTTATCCGTAGTTCAAAACCATAGCAGTTAGACTTAAAGCCTAACTCAACAATATATCAGACTTATTTAACACGATCTAATTTGTAGTAATGTATATGAATAAATAAAAAAGATCTTAGGGAGATATATTTTTTTACAATAAATGCTGTATTTACCAACATAAAAGTGATACATAAAAACAACAAAAGAATTTTTTTTTGGTTATTATTATGGTCAGTTTTGTGCTTTTACTGTTATTATAGGTATTGTTTAAAAATAATAAGATTCTGTTCATGTTCACTGTACACTGATACTTAGAAGTGAAAGACTTTCGTGGACTAAATGTATTGTATATAGGGTTATGTTTTTTTGTTTAAGAATTTATATGGTGTTCCTCGAATTCGCCCTGTTAAAATTCCCCCACTTGTGACAAGGACGAAAGGGGCGAAAATAAAACGGGGGCGAAAATGTCCCTGTATGCAGTATATGACTTTCTGACAATTTCCTTTACAGTTATTTCCAACGATGAGAAATGTCAACAAAACAACGTCATCAAAATACAAGTCTACTCTAGAAACAACAAACCTTGCCCGGGTAGCAAGACTTATCCTTGGTCCATGCACAGATCTGCTGCGTGATATTCTCAGAGTGAAAATCTCACCCTCAAATCTATCGAAAACTGTCAAAATCTGGATTGATGATCTCAAAAAGAACAAAATAAAGAATCCTCTAAATAAACAACAAATTGTTCTCATCTTTCCTATTCCAACCAAACAATATGGCGGGGATTATTCAGATTTTGATATTAGTTTCCTGTACATTCTTCTACGTAACGTGTGTAAAATAACTCCACACAATAATGGATGGGGAGAAGAACCCGATCCCACGGACAATAGTGTATCTGCCAACATTGAAAGAATCAGACTGACAAGAAACAGGTACTATGGACATGCAGCAGATTTCTCTCTTTCAGATGCAGATTTTAAACAGGAATGGCGAAACATTTACAATATTACCGTTGAGTTAGAACACCACTTTGGAACTTCCACTGTTTACCATGATGCTGTGAACGATATAAGAACATGTTCTATGGATCCAGAAATAGAAGCCAGATACATCGATAAACTTTTACTCATTGATGAATTGTGTGAAACGGTTAAAAGTCACACAGGTGAATTTACTTGCATGTCACCTGAATCACTCAGATCACCAATATCAATTTCTTGCGTCCTCTTCTTTCGATTTTTAAAATTTTTGTTCCTTTTACTTTTTTTCACCAGCAATACTTAACAGAACTCTGGTTTTGGTAGCTGTTTAGGCATGAGAGATGTGACCTAAAATATAAAAATAATCAAATACCAATTTTAGAAAATATCCTTTTTTACTCCTGAACATCATACAGACAATCTAATTTAATTACTACGATGAGCAGTCATACATAATTACATATCACTCAGATTTAAAGTTGAAATTAAAATTGACTTTTATGAGTTATTCAGATGTTTCAGTTGTTTGATAATTTAAATTAGATTGAATACTGACATCAACTATTTCAATCTTAACAATGAATTTAAAATTTTAATATCTCCAAATTTTTAATCTCCAATTTCAACATCAACTAGTCTCAGAAGGTCAAAACCTGAAAATCTTCCTCTTAAAATATTTTCTATTTATCATCTACTGAAAAAAAAATCAGGAATATGAAAGTTAGAAAAGAGAGGGTTCGTTTCACTTGCGTTTCAGACTACATGGGCTTGAGTCACCTAAGATGGAAATTTAAGTCTAATTTTGCAGCTCTGATCTTCAATTAACATAATGAATATAATGGTATTTCGACGAAATTTAATAACAAAAGTTACTTTTATTCATATATCGACTATATTGATCCCATTAAAATCAACATAAAAGGCACCATAAAATCGCTTTTATATTAGTCTTAATCAGTGAAATAGCCACTAACTTAAATCAAACTATTTGTTGGAACAAAAAAGTGAAATAGGAGATGTACAATGGTATTTTATAATTAAGACTCTCTGAAGGTTTCATCAAATTTCATCTAGTGATATAAGAGGAGTTCCTGATAAGAGATGGGTACATGTGTTCCCCCCAAAGCGTAAAGGCGGACGGACAAACGTACAGACAGACGGACGGACGAAAGGACATTCCCAATACTATATACCCTCCTGCTTTTTAAAGACCCTCTCTACACAAGTGCAAATATTTTTTGGACATGGAGAAAAATATATTATATAAGGGAGTTAATATTGAGCTTAATTATTTAATTTTCACCATATGGTGCGTGGCATTTACCCCCGGGAAAAATGTTCAAAACAACACTGTATAAGTGAATAGAAATCACTGTTAATTACTTCAATGGAGAAAATAGATGTTAACAACACGTTCAGTTAATTTATCTAGGCCGTTTAAAATGGTTAGACTACATGTACTTTAATTCATTACAAATTGAGTAATATAGTGTAAATTTTTATTTTTTAGAATTAATATCAAAGGGCAAATCACTCTAACTGCAGAAAAATACCTTAGAATCAGAACTATTTAGTGTGCAGTGTAGAGAGGGTTCTTAAGCGGGACTAAAATGAATTTCTGAATATATATTCAGTTTGTAATTTGAAGGAAATATGTACAACATTAAAATAATAACATGCCTTGGACATTATATTGCAAGTTAAAATAGTGAACCTCTCTCTCTCTCGCTCTCTCTCTCTCCGTCTCTCATTTTTTTTAAATTTTGCTTTTAATTCATAAGGTATCGTTCAAGCTTGGTATAATATATTTCAGGTCTTCATGAAGTACAATTAAAACAATGGAGAGAAGAAGATGAGGTTTACAGTAAAACTCACACTTTCCATGCCATGCTGAATAAAGTCAGAGGACAAACTTATATGACATTTGTTGGAGTCCCAGGGTCTGGAAAATCAGCAACGATTCATCACATAGCCCTGATCCTCCAGGAGGAAGGATATGAAGTTGTTCCTATTAAAGATATCAACAAGATTGAGGATTATTCTGACTTTCGTAAACCACAGGTTTTTGTCATTGATGATGTGGTAGGTGTGTTGGGTCTTCAAAAACAAAAGTTAGAGGCTTTAATTTACTATAAAAAACTTATTTCTGATCCCTTTAATAAAAGTACAAAGGTTTTGATGTCATGTCGGGAAGCAGTATTTAATGAATGTTACAAATCATTTTTCTTGAAAGAGGAATGTGTGATCAAAATGTGTAGTCTGAATGATGATGACAAAAAAAATATGCTTCAGACACACGGCTTAGATAAAGATTTGTTGGCCCCTACATTACTGAGAGAAGTATCTGCAATGTTTCCTCTGTTGTGTAAACTTTATTCAAAAGATGTGAAATTTAAACAAAATGTTGAAAGGTTCTTTACTTGTCCAACTGAGTACATTTTAGGGGAATTTGACAAAATGCTAGAACAAAATAAATTACAGTATGCTACGTTGGTCTTATGCCTGTTAAATGATAATAAATTATCCAAAAAAATATTAAAAGATACAGGGAATAAGGTTTTCTGCCAAATGAAATCAGACGTACTAGAAAGTTTAAAAGTTAAGAGTTGCACAGACGCGTTCAAATTTTATGATACATTATTAGTAATGGAGGGGACTTACACAAAAGTCTGCGGTACTGAGTATACATTTGTTCACGACTCAATGTTTGAAATCATAGCTTATCATTTTGGTTCCAAGTTCCCAGATCTCATTTTACAATTTATGAGTAGCAGTTATATTGCTAACTATGTAAAGCTCCAAAAAGATGAAATGATTAGATTAGAGAATGAAAATTATCAAGCGAGTGAAAATTTTGAAATCAATGGCGGGAGAAAACAGGAAATAAACGTCGCTTGTTCTCAAAATGGAGACAATGGAGCTTTTGATGGTGAAAACAGGGATGGCATGGAGACATTTGATCTCTATATAAGGTTAGGAGAGGATCTGTATTCCATGTTAGCAGAGCGTTTGTACAGGGATATAGAAAATATGGAGCTGTATGATGTTTTTATGAACAATATTTTAAAAGACCCCTGTGTTTGTCAGGCCTTTATTGAGGTGTTGGAGACAAAGTCTTACACAAAGTTAAGGTCTTTATTTCTGTCAGTGCAGAAGGATGTGTCTAAGGTAGTGAGTAAAGGGGAGCGTGTGAGTGAGGAGAGTGAGGAGAGGAATGACAGGAGATGGGAGTGGAGCAGACAGAAGGTCCTGGTGAATGAGAAGTGTGATAAAACAGAAATAACTTACAGTGTAAGGGTTATCAGTTGGGTAGTTTACTACGGACACAAAAAGATTTTACAATATATTTTAGAGCAAACTGAGTTACACAAAGAAACGCAGTCTGATCTCCTTTTGATTTTATTTAATCAGGATTTAATTTTTCCAACCAAACATGGGGAAAAGAACATTGAAGCAAACAATATAATAGAGAAATTTCAGTTCCACTGATAGCAGCGTGTAAAGGTGGATATATGAATATTGTGAAGGAGTTGCTCGGAGCAGGGGCAGATATTAATCATCAAGGTGTATCTAGTACACCAATGACAGCAGCATGTGTAGGTGGATATATAAGTTTGGTGAAGGAGCTGGTGAGGGCAGGTACTGATGCCAACATTTCAAGTCTTGGTGTTGAAGATACACCACTGACAGCAGCATGTAAGGGTGGATATATAGATATAATGAAGGAACTGGTAAAGTCAGGGCTAATGTCAACTTTAAAGGTACTAGTGTTTATGTTACACCACTGAAGCAGCATGTAACGGTGGATATAGAAATATAGTGAAGGAACTGGTTACGGTAGGGGCTGATATCAATCTACAAGGTAAGTATGATACACCACTGACAACAGCGGTTAAATATGGACATATTAGTATAGTAAAGAAATTACTTCAGAAAGGGTTAATGTTTATCAGTGTGTTGTCAACTACTCTGAAGATGTTTCTTATACACCCTTGACAGTAGCATGCAATGGTGGATATTTTATGTTACTGAAAAGCAAAGAAAAATTATCTTTCTTGAAATTATTACAGAACAGTGATTTAAAGGGCTGATGCCCTCCATTAACTGTAAAAAAGCAACCTTTTAATAAGCTAGGGTATTGATGGCCTTTCACCAGTAGCTAATGCCTCAGTTGTTTTAAAAAGAGTTACTGCCTATATTTTACGGATCTGATTTGAGTGTTTCAGTTTGGTGCAACAATATTTTCAAGAAGTGGTTTGAATCAGATGTAGATACTCACAAATTCCAAAGAACTTTTGGAAATTTTGAAATTACAAGATGTTACAGCTTAAAAACTTACGACGTTTCAACTTTATACACAAACATTCCTCACGATAAGTTAAAATCAAGGTTTTTTTTATATCATTGACAGCTACTTTTTCAATAAAAATAGAACTCGTTAATTTACATACATGGTCATTGGTCATTTGCAAAATTAATTTGTTAAAACACTATGATTGCAACACAAGTACTCTGAAGTTGACATCAAAACAATGCTTGAGTTTCTGATTGACAATATCTATGTCGTTTTTGAACACCAGATATTCCAACAATGTATTGGAATTGCTATGGGTACCAATTGCACTCCTTTATTAGCAGACTTATTTTTATATTCATATGAAGCAGAATTTGTGTAAACTCTTATGCATGAAAAGAAAAAAAACTCTTGCTGTGGCATCAACCCGACATTTACATGTGAATATATCGACGACGTATTGTATATTAACAATGGTAATTTCCATTCCTAGGTCGATACGATATATCCTAGTGAGCTTGAGATAAAAGATACCACAGAGTCTGAATCAATCGTCTGTTTCATACTTGGATATTTTACTTGAAAAAGACGTTAATAGTAATCTAATAACCAAGCTATAAGATACAAATGATGACTTGAACTTTGCTATCGTCAACTTTCCTTACTTATTCAGCAATATACCTTCATCACCTGTAAACGGAGTTTGTCTATCTCAGCTGATTCGATAGGTAAGCACATGCTCTACGTATGAACAATTTCTAAAACGAGGTAAATTATTAACAAGCAAGTTGATGAAACAAGAATATCAACAGTCTTATTTAAAGACATCATTTTGTAAGTTCTATGGTCGATACAGTGACCTTGTAACAATCACTATTGCACTTGCGTATATAATTTGTATTTCCCGCGTTTTGTCCCTATGCTTTTTATACCCATAAGTCCTTGCAAAATAGCTAGGCCGACCAGAACAATTGAGGCCTGGTCATTCCCGGCAGAGAAACGTAGCTGCAGACACGTTTTTTAAGCAGCTAGTATATGTTAATAGCCATACAAGCTTTATCTTGACACTGGCACGGAGACAGGTCCGTGGTAAGTATTTACTTATGATATTATGATATTATTTGTTTTGTATATAGTTTTTATTTTAAAGGCAAATTTATTATCGAGTACAATTTCGTTCTTATTTCTGAACTTGGCCAGCTCTCACCATTTTACCTGTTGTTCACTCAGGTGTGACGGTTAGCGAGAGTGTTCGAGTGGCTGTTGTATTATATCGATAACGTTTAAAGTTCTCATTGTTAAATGTTCGCTATTTCCTTGTACTCAGTTTTGTTACTTTGTGTAGAATATTTTGTCCATTTAAATTTTGGTTTAAATGTCTGGGCGAAAGTGAATGACCGGAAGTTGAAAGTAAGGTGCGCCATATTGGCAGTAATTTGTTTTGATTTATGTTAACTGGTAACCATTATACTTAATACTTTTTTGATTATTTTTATTTTGAGAATGAATAGCCAAACATATATAGTGGTATTGCCAAACATGTGTAGTGAAACATGTGATTTATAAATATGCATCATTGTAGCGTCATGGATATTGGTATGACCTGTGCTTGATACATATACTGAGCTGAGGGGATCATTGTGACGGCAAAAGGTTCCAGGGACTAAGGCCCGGAAGAATGCTGTGCGTGGATCCAAATATTTGTTGGTGAACGGATAACAGATAAGTCTATCCAAGAAACTTTGAGTTAGCGCTATATAAGAAAAGGCAAACTTTTGATTTCATACCTGCATCGAGGATGAGGATGATGTTGATGATGATGATCGTGATGATGACGGGGATAATCTATGATCTGTGATCATGTTTGGCATTAATAACTGAATTAGATACCCGGGGTGATTGGCTGATTAATGAATTTGTTAATTGGGTAATTGTTGATTACCAATTTTTTTTTCTTTGTTTAAATTGTTTAATAAGAGGGTGTGAATTTGTGTGTGGTAAGTTTGTGTGAGATCTTTGTTATTATTATTATTTTTTTTTTTTGTAAATAAATTTATTAAACTTATTGAACTTATGTGATTCTTGGAGATAGCCAGCTTGACCACGTGACAGACCTTGTCAGCAACTACAATTTTTCTTTTAGTCAAATGCTGACTGACGTTTTTCATACTAACTGTTAGTCCATTATTAATACACTGATTGACAATAAATTTTTCTGTTATTTCTGATTTTTACAAGGAGCATACGGTTAGTGCGACCGGTCGGCAGGGGGTGCTCACTCCTCCATGGTACCTGATCCAACCTCTAATGTTTTGGAGATCCATGTTTGCTCTGCTCCTACTTTGTATTGTTTATGGAGATTGAATATTATTATTGAATAATATCCATATCCTTCTTGATAAACGTGATGATAAACTGATGATAAACGTGATGACTTTAACTTTTCTATCGTCAACTTCCCTTACTTATGCAGCAATATACCTTCATCACCTGCATACGGAGTATAAATATCTCAGTTGATTCGATACGCAAGAGCATGCTCTACGTATGAACAATTTCTTAAACGAGGTAAATTATTGACAAGCAAGTTGATGAAACAAGAATATCAAAGTCTCGTTTAAAGTCATCATTTCGTAAATTCTATGGTCGATACAATGTCCTTGTAGGCAAATACAATTTATCATTGAATGGAATGCTGACTGACGTTTTTCATACCAATTGTTAGTCCATTATTTATACACTGAATTGACCACGGATTTTTTCCGTTATTTCCTGATTATGACAACGACCACACGGCGGGTGTGACCGGTCAGCAGGGGATGCTCACTCCTCCATGGAACCTGATCCCACCTCTGATGTTTCAGAGGTCTGTGTTTGCTCTGCTCTTATTTTGTATATTTGTTTAATGGACGTTGAGATTGAATACTGTTCGTTATTTCCATATCCTTCTTGATAAAGTTCCTCTGCCTAGAGTTTAGAGGTCTTGTTTGAATGTCTCAGTTGGTAAAGAGCCCCTCTGTAGAGATTAGGTATCAATCAGCTCAACATCTGCTAGAATTTAGAAAATATTACAGAAATCCAAATTGAAAATCTGGTCATTTTTTATGTGTTTTCTTAAAAAATGGCAGGGAAACTGAGTAAAACAGAGAGACAAATGAGGATATAATCTTTGCTTTCTTTTAATAGCTAAAATAAATCAAAGAAGTGATCGTACTTCTCAAAATAAAGACCCCATTGCAAACACGAATTACAAAATAAGTTTACGAATTTTTTACAAGCCATGTTTACAAATGACTATTCTAAAACTTTACGATTCCTTGATCTGAAGGCAGCGTGTGTCTGGGAAAATAATACTTCCCATTCTTTATCTGTTTAAATCATAAATAAAATTAATCAATACCATCTTAAAGCAATATCAAACGTTGCTAAAAATGGATCCATGTCATACAAAAATTTTAATTTGCACAAAAGAAATCTTAAAGTAGTGTAGATTTTAACAATAAACGCTTTGAATAAGCTCACTCAGGTAGAACATGTAACTTGGGTCGAACACGTTATCGGGAGTTGATCAAATGCATTCCACAGAATAACAGGAAAGGTATATCTGAAGACTAAGTTTAAAAACCAAGGTTCCTCCCAACAGAAAGAGAGGTTAAACACTAACGTACTGACTGCTTTGGAAATATTGAATATTAAGACATCCCAATCAATAGAAGAGACACTGAATGTTGAAAAATATCAGGTAGGTCCATACTACATTTCAAATTCACAAGGAAAATTAAATAGAAACTTGTACAAGGCAGTTTCTGTTTCATCGTATACAATGGATAACGCGTGGGTTATTTGTTTTGTGTAAATACATCTTATAAATACCGAAAAAAAAGACCTACATCTCTTCTGACTCCGAAGCGGTGAAAATCTAATCCCCCATACGTTGAAAACGACTCCCCAATCCTTCTTAGCGACTCCCCGCGTTACCCGTTGTATACGGTGTGTTTGCTGAATGTAAGCGTTCCATGTCATTAGAAGTGGAGTCTATTCTCTTTGGTAAATTGAGCGGTCCACGAATTCCTGTAAAATATCTCTTTATGTAAATTGCATGGGCCTAAACACGGCTTTGTTGACTTGTGAAAAGAACGGAAAATATCACACTTTTCTGTTTGACAATTATGAAAAATATCTAGAAAAAATACTTAAAAATATCAAACAGTAATCAAACCTAGATTAAATTTTATTATGATTAAATTAAAACCGTTATTTTCAAAATGATGGGATATAAAAATATACGAGGGGTTATCAAAAAGTTCGTAGACTAGCACCATACCATTAAAACCGCTTTAGTTACATCAGTGAGTTTAGCATCATCTCTCCTATCTAAAGAATAATACATGAATCATAGATTTTAATTTTCAAAAAATCAGTCATGTTTTTGTAAGCGGTGATATGTCCAGTCGGTGCAACCTCCAACACGATGTTTTTCCGACCTATGTGTGACTGAGAAAAACTCCATGATATGATCATTTGACATCCAGAAATCCCATTGATTCAGGTGTGTGTTGGGACACAATTGTTCAATAAGATAAAAAAAATTACTTCATTCTTAAAGTTGATGCACATGAACAAAATTTACCCGATTTCATCGAAATATTTACAAATCGGGGGCATATAAAAATTAAATGGAAATGTGAAAAGGAGGAGGAATGTATAAAAATTTATTGATGTATGCATATCCCATGTTTTATACTGATTTAGATAGATAATCGAGCGAAGTTTGAGCGTGGTGAGGCGGATGACTAGAAAGAGTTGCAAGCCTTCTCTCTTTATATGTATCAGTGGAAAACGGCACTTTTAAAAACATCTTGTAGAGACGAAAGAGATGCATTTTTGATAACATATAGTGCATATTAGAATAGAAAAAGAGGAAAGAGATGACTTGAATCCTGATTTAAAAAGAAAAAAAAATGGAAAAGGGGGGGGGGGTCCATACCCCAAGTGCCTATGGTCAACTCGGGGCAAATATTTTGGTATGTCGCCCTCGAAGCCATGTGATATATGTATAATAAACTCTGATATAAAGTAAACTATATAAGACAAGCCAAAAATTGTATGTAACACAAATAAAGAGGCTATAACCATTTTATGATATCTAAAGTATCGCTTACTAAATAGACAGTACAAATACTAAACAAAAACCCTAACAAATATTTGTCAAAACTCAACAAAAAAAAAGCGACGTCGGCCGTCCGCACGGGGCAGCGTCCGATTAGAAAATTAGTTTTTATATGGTTGAAACAATATTTGTTAAAACAACTCAAAATTATTGAAATATATTTAGTAAATTATATTTATTTATATACGATTTTTCAATGGTGTGTACAAATTCGAAGGCACTTCAAGAATTTAAAAACACATGTAATTTTCTGAAAATGGAGATTTCTATTTATGGCGTTGTTATAAATCTAGCGCAGCATCGGCTGTGTAGTTTATGTATTCAACCTGTTTTTCAGATGACGCTCGTAAATTTTTGTGCATTGTTTTAAATTTTAAAAATTAAACAAATTATAATATATACTTAATCATTATTGCTAACAATTGGATATGTGCGATGCGCCTTAAAAAGAACTGAGTCCATGAAAATGTGCTAAGTTAAAATCCAAATATTTGACGATATAATTAAATTAGCTTAACGTCAGACTGGTCCGTGCTCACAATCTGTGATCTTTAAAGATCTTTAAAGACCCCGATTTTTACAAAAAAAAAGTTTCCTAAATAAATATTTACCCATTCTGACTTTGTTTTTCATAACAAATATTTTCATATACAATAGATGCATAAAGAACCATTTATTTTTACAAACGTCATTGTCCACGAACTTTTTGGACAACTCTCGTGAGTGATGACGAAGAAGCAGACATTGTCAAACAATGACGTAGTCGTACGTCATGAAACTAAACGGTGATAGCGGCGGGTGATCATATAATGTCGTTTTTATTTTATTTTAATATAGCAAATACTGAACGTATCAAGCTAAAGAGTCATAGCTGCCTTACTGACGACACGGCCGACTGAAGTTACCTGTTTCTGTTTATAGATGATTGTACCTTTTCATATATGTATCAAGATCACACTGCATGTATGTAATCCATTGTGAACCAGTTATATTTTCATAGTTGCAATTTTGTTACATCACAATAATCTTACTTGTTCAATTCTCTCATTCTAAAAGAGATTTTTTTTTTAAATATATTGAAAATAAAACAAGATAGCAGGTATGAGTTGGGGTCATTAAAAAAGTTCAGGACTGTTTTTTCCTGAGATACTTTCAAACTGTAAATTAATGTATTATATAATAATCTCTTACATTATTTATGCATGTATAATAAAATATTAAAAGAAAAACATAAGAAAAATTCACAGAGAAAAAAAATAAAACCATACGTAAGACACACGCACACTCTGATATTCGAACCCACGATCATTATATCTACGAGGGCTGTTCAAAAAATAATGTCCTCGGTGCTCAGAAAGAAGCAAACGACGCTTTTCAATGATTTAGTCTTCATGATTTTACTTATTAATCTCTTTTAATTCAAACAAATGTCTCTACATTTTTGTATCCAATTTCGGATTGTTTTTAGAACTCATTTTTGGGTTTAACCCTTAGAATACTGGAAAATGGCAGACCCAATGTTTGACTTGTTTTTTTCCTTTCTGAAAGGTGTTTTTTTTCTAGTTTGGAAATAGAAACAAGTCAAAAGGTCAAAGATCTGGCAAATATTGTTAATGTCAAAAAATATTAACTCTCTGTTTATCCCGAAAACCCCTTTACTCTTTAGGGCATGCGGGTATGGACGCTGTCGTGAATTCAATGTAGTGGATTCCTGATTCCTGATTCTGGGTCCTTCCTCTTATAAACCTTTCGATTTTTTGCAAAAAATTGCTTTCTAGACTCTTCAAGATATCAAACCGTCTCCCTGAATACGAATTTGAACAAATATACCACTAATATTTAACAAAATTGCATATAAATCTGTCTTTGTGCTCTTGCATACCTTTGCTCTTGTCAGACCTTTACCGTTTTTATCAAGTACATCTTACGGTAAATTTAGTTTTGATGGTTTTAAGCAAAAGATTCATGTTCCAATATCTATTTGAATGTAAAACAAACGTGGATAACTACAATTACTGATATTTTAAAATAATTGTTTAGACTATCGTACACGCTGTCGTTTTCACTCATTTTTCAAAATATACGGTGACCTTTGAGTACTAAGCTTTTTTTACTGTCAAACGTTTCATAAAAACAGTATAAACTACTCCCAATATTATGTCTATAAAATTTGCTATGTGTCTTAAAGTCAATCATACATCATCAAATATTATTTGTTGAAATTTGGCAAACAGTACATAAATTGTTATAATTTTTGTTGGCAAGGACAGTACCCATCTTTGATGCCTATTATATATTTTTTTCACTGAAATCCACCTTCTCATTTGTCTATAATACAGGTATCGGTTGCTGTAAATGTCACATATTCCAGTGAATATTTCTTAGGGATTTTTAACAAGTTTCACAACAGCTTTAATGTAGCTTTTATTTTCACTCTAGTTTACTGATTCTTTACCATTCATTTGTAATGCAGTGTCTCGAATAGCCCTTGTTTCCCAGCTTCTCGCGATGAAACTATGTGATGAAAAGTGGTCACATAAACTGTTATAAATTCAGTAATTGAAAATCCGAAACTACATTAATACAGTGTGTAAATAATAGCAAAAAAATTTGTATGAAAAAGTAAGAAACTAAATACTGAAATCTGAGTACAGAGAAGTTGAAGTCATCAGGTTTATCATAAAGTTTGTTTATAAATTTCAATTAAAGTTTGATAACATAGATATGTTGAGAATTGTGCTGTGCTCAAAAGTTAAAAAGCAATGAACATACATGTATTGCTAGACTTATCCTTTTGTTTTCACCACAAAGGACGTGATAAAAAGAAAAAAGTACTTGACGATATGTTACGGTTCCAGACAGCTGATAAGGCTTGTAATTAAATCTTGTCTTAAACTCCACATATGTAAATCAAACTTATAATCCTGGATAAATTGATACCGGATTTCGGGTATTCTCTTCAACCTGATTAAAGCAAATACAATTAATCATTGAGTCAAAAATTGACTTCCGTGTTTCATACTAATTGTTTACCCAATATGTACACATTGAAGTGTCGACGGATTTTCCCGTTATTTGCTCATCTTGACGAGAATCACACTGCGGGTCAGCAGGGGATGTTCATTCCTTCATGGCAAGTAAATTTGGGAGTTTCATTTTTATGACCAAAAAAAGCTGTCAATGAGATCAAGCAACATTGACTTTAATCTATCGAAGGAACATTCATTTTATTTATTTTTATTTTCCTAAAGAACAATCTCGGTATAATTGATCAAGGCCTATATGTATATAACATATTAATATGGAAGACCAGTCTGATTCAAGATTTTTGTCTGCTTTCTGACTAGATAAAATATTTAAAGTACATTAGCGTACCTAAATAGATCTTATATATTTAGATGTAAGATATTTAGAAGATCATATTTTCTTTCCATATCACAACTTTGAATAGAACTGCTGATCTGAGTTCGAAATCTAGCATTGACTATATTTTTGCGGAATGGCGGTGAAAAGACAAATATTGTCCACCATAGAATATTGATCGGGGGTCATTTTTCGACATCGAAAAACGA